TTTATATTACTTGCATGAACGTGGCATCCTCTTATTCATTTGGAGGTTAAAAGGAAGTTATAGAGATAATAGAATAAATGAGAGGACTAACAAGTGGATGAGCTGGAAGACGAACAGTCACTGTGGAGGCAATGCAAGAAGATGAAGATGGAAGAAATGGGGTAGTTTACTAAGGTAGTTATTGGCTGTGTATATTTTTCTTCTGATGAAAATAGCCATTATATGCTACACTTGTAAAGCAGGGAGAATCATAAATCAAAGAACCCATTGTTTCAATATTTCTTGTTCATTTTTCTTATCTAGGAGTAGCGTTTAACATTAGAATCTCATATTTCGAAGCATTTATTTTTCAGCATTTCCATTTCGAAGCATTTTATGCACTTTCTTTTCGAAGCATAGGAGATAGAGTAAGTAATTATTACTTTTGATTGTTCACTCAAATCATCTTTCTCCGTCCCTTTTGTCTTCTATTTACTTTTTTCTTTTGCTACACTGTTGGCAAAATTTGAATCCTCTTCCGTTTGAGGCAAAAAGAACCATCAACACAATCGCTTGAAATTGCTTGAAATTTAATCTGTAAGAGATTTTCTTATCCTTGTAGCACGCCTCGGATTTATGAATTTCCTTCGTAGTTTAAAAATAAGCCACCATTTTTTGACACGCCCCGTGTGGGACAGTAAGTGTAGAAAATGACAAACGGTTTGGATTCGCCATTTTAATACTGTCAATATGAAATATATTGCGAAAGAGAAATTTTGGGATCTCAAGAAGAGATCCATTTTCTTGGATGAAATAAATTTCATCCTTACAATATTTATTTAGGTGGGACGAAAAAAGGACACCATTTAATTGGGAAATTCAAATCAACTTGATATGGGAAATCGCCATGGAATGATGAGTTATCAAACTCTCACTAACAGTCTTTAACGTGAGGCTGTTAATGGTCGGAATTGTTGAATTTTTTCTGAATTTTTTCCATGGGTTAAAAAATAGTAAAAGCAAAGGAATGATTCATCATGCGTGGGGGGTTCAAGAGTTCTTTTTAAAAAAGCCAATTATGAAATTAACAGCAAACGAAAGAGCATGTTCTTGAGATAAATCCTGCGATAAGAATGAATGTATACCACTCGTTATGCCTCAAGGGTCCAAAAACCAAATTTTTAGAGAGTCAAGTCATAGAAAATAATATATCTATGGGTGATTTTTCAATAGCCATTAATGGCTAACATGGAAAAAACAACCCACTTTGGCCAAATCAATTATGAAAACCTATGTCTGGCAAAAGTTATGTTTTTAAAAACAAACATGGTCAGAGAGATAATGAACAAGCACTGTTCATGAATTCAAAATTTTTGATAATTGTTTCAAAATGTCAAAAAGTATAAATTTCATGGTCACACTAATGCATGACTTTTGGTGTTCAAAAATCTTTTTGGATTTGTGGTTCACATCAAATATAAATTTTATAGATGATGTTGGCTAATAACATTAACAAATTGTTCTTATGAGTTCGAAG